AATACCTGTCACTATATGCAGATAAAAAAAAATTTAAAAAAAACTTGAATTAGTGAAAAAAAATTGTTATTAAAAAAAAAATGTTTAAATATTAGCAAAAAAAATTTTTTTATTAAAATGTAAATTTATTTTTGAAAAGAGGAGAAAAAATAACATGAATTCAAAAAAAGAAAGATTAAAATCGGTTAATAATTAACCGAGTTATAACAAATTTTGTAATTTTGATCGGGTGAGTTTGATTTTGTGGCGGCGTATGCCACGCGCCACCGAGTTCCCCCACTCCGCCTTCCGGAGCAAGGTAAAATGTTGAGCTCTCTTTAACCGTCATTATTAATAATAAAAAAATTTTTTTCAATGTTTACAATTTTTTATTTAACAGTACACATATTAAACTACAAGTACTATAAATTTGAATGAAAAATATTAATAATTATAGTGTTAGGATTTATTTGAAAAAAAAAAATTATCTCCCCCCCCCTTTGACCTAGATTGTTTTTCTTTTTTTAAAAAGTTTTGTAAAGAAAAAAGAAATTCAATGGCGTTTATTAGAATCCGATAGAGTAAAAACTGGTCGAGTAATTTCAATTGTTTATAACGAAAAAACGTACCCTTTTTTCTTTATCCATAATTATGCAATTAATTAATGAATTTCAATTCTTTCTTTTATGTACATGATAGTATCACTCTTCAAGAGTAAAATGAAAGAAAAAAAATTGAATTCGCTCCATATCGTTCTGTAGAAATTATGTTGAAAAACAACATGTTTTTAATTAACAAATGGAATAATTTATAAACTATTCATCCGTTTAAACTTGAAGTTTTTTCATTTTGTTCAGTATCATGAGGGGCATATTTTCAGAAAGTTTCACTTCAATCGGATTATTATTAATAAAGTTATTAAACAATTAAAAAAGTACCATTTTTAATGGTTTAAATTCAATAACTTTTAAACAAATAATCCGATTTTAACTTTCGACCCACCATTTTGTAGGTATTTTTAATACCTTTTTTTTCTAATAACAACTTTTTCCTCTAAAATGTAGAGGAAAGTAACGAGCACGCAAAAACCACATTTCACCAACTTCAACCATTGTTTACAACAACTTCTGCAACCGGAAATCGAGAGCAAACTGTGGGGCCTTTATACTACCCCCCCAAACTACCAAATTCCGGTTAGAGTTGCCTGTCTACATTTAATGGCACTTTTTGTCTTTATTGACTGGCCTATATGTGCAAGACAAAAAAATTTTGTACAAAATTAAGGTAAAGACCCCCAAAAATGTGTGTTTGAGGGTTTTCAGTATTTTTTTCCTTAACCTGACGTGCTAGAAACTTTTATATAGTCTTAAATTAAAGTTTAAACTTTTTGGGTGACTTGAACTTAACTTTTTTTAAAAATTTCAAATTTTTTTTATCTTGCGTATAAGAGTCTTAAAGTGTAAGATATAAAAATTAATTTAAACCTATATAAAAGTCTTTTACGTCCAGTTAAGGTGAAAAAATACTGAAAACCATCAAAAACACAGTTTTTTAAGATTTTACCCCCACCTTCATGTGGCTGACGTCGTATGCAATTTTGGAACCCTGGGTCGAGTTCAGCACACAAAAATACACACACACTCAATCTCAGCTGGCACATGTGGTTTTTCACCTTCACCTGAGGAAGGCTTGAAACGTGAAGATTCACAAAAATTAGAGGTTGGTCAAAATCGGGCAAATGTAATACTTTCTTATTATGATGAGAATGTAAAAACAAATATTTAATTCAAAAAATTCAAAAATTTTCTAATATATATATAGGGTAAAATTCCTGTAGCGAACTAAGTGAAAAAAACTTGATCGGATCGGACTGTAACTTGCAGATGGTTTAGCCCTAGGGGTGAGTAATTTAACCACGAAGTATTGTTAGGTTCTTTAAAAACCTGTCCAAGAGGGAGGGGGTTGAATTTTTGAAAAATTTAAAAAGTGAATATTTGAAGACTTGTAACTTTTAAACAGAAAGAAGAAGAAAAATTCGCCCTATATGTTTTCGAAAGGTTTTTTCCTGCTCTTTCGAATGGTGCAAAAAAATTTTCAAAAAATTAAAATTTTGACTCTTTTTTTTAAGTTAAAAGTTTTTTCGAATTTTTTTAAGTTCGATCCTTTTTATTAACTAAAAATACAAGGGTTTGAATTTTAAACTTAAAGGCGATTTCTCTAAAATTCGTTTTAACGTAACTTCTATAAAACATTGACAGTCCCGATTCATGCCTGGGATTTGATCGATTACTTTAACGTACTCGAGCACGCAGCTTATTTTTTCAGATCGAAATTAATTCAAAAAGTGATAATTATTTCTCGAAAAATCATATCAATGATTATCACATGAACACCAATAGATCGCAGTGATTTAAATGATTGATATATTATCTGTCTAAATTTAGGCAGTTAGCTATTGTTGAATACCTAAATTCTAAATGAAAGATGAGAAAAAATGATGGTACTCAAAGTATCCATGTTGACCATTTCTTATACAGGAAGAGCACAATTCTCTATTTGACAGTTTTAATTTATCCCAGTGATCTAACCGATTGCTTTTATGATACTGAAAAAAGAGAGTTAGCTATTGCTGAATACATAAATGGTAATAGTTACAAAAGACATAATAATGGTACTCAAAGTAAGCAAGAAGGAAGTAAGCAATATTTTTCTTATACAGGATGATCATAATTCTCTAACATTGACAGTCACGATTTATACTAGTGTTCTATTAAATTGCTTTTATGTTTCTAAATAATGAGAGTTAGCTATTGATAGATACTTAACTGTTAAAAGTTACATAAGACATAATAATGATGGTATTAAAAGTAAACGTAAAGTGAATTTCTCATACAACAAGAATACTTAAATTTTGATAAAAGCATAAGACATAATGATGGTACTCAAAGTAGCCATGTTGACCACTTCATATACAAGAAGATCATAATTCTTTAACATTGACAGTCCCTATGTATCTCAGTGATCTAATCGATTGTTTTTATGATTCTAAAATAAGAGAGTTAGTTATTGCTGAATACTTAAATTTTGATATAACCATGAGTCATAAGGTTGGTACTCAAAGTAAGCGTAAAAGTGTATTTCTAATACAAGAAGATCACAATTCTCTAACATTGAAAACTAACATTTAACCTAGTGATTTAAACGATTGCTTTTATGTTTCTCTAATAAGAGAGTTAGCTATTTGTGAATACTTAAATTTTGAGAGAACCATAAGACATTATGATGGTACTAAAAATATGCATGAAGAGCATTTCTCATATAACTTATGCACATGTTAAATAACTGATACTTCTACTGCGCATAAATAGTTTAAAATTTTATTATGTGCCCATCTTTTTTGCCATACTGCGCATTTTCTGACAGCAGACAATTCTATTGCGCATAAATACAAATCATTTTATGCATGTGCGCAATAATTTTTGCAATATCTTACTTATGCGCATGGCATAGTTGATGATATTTCTACTGCGCATAAATAGACTCTAATTTTATAATGTGCTGATTTTTTTTAATAATAAGCCATACTGCGCATTTTCTGATAGCAGATTTTGTTACTGCGCATATAATAGTTTCGTTTAATACGAGTGCGCAACAGTTTTCGTAATTTCTTACTTAGGCGCATGTTATAGTTGCTGATATCTTTACTGCGCATAAATAGTCTCTAATTTCATAATGTGCGCATCTTTTTTGAATAATAAGCCATTCTGCGCATGCATTAATAGCAGATATTTCTAATGTGCATGTATAAATAACATTTAATAATCTGACGATAAATTTGTAATCAGCGACTCCCAAAACCCCTAGATACCAATTTTCGTAAAAATCCAACTACTTTTTAAAAATTCGTCGCCATATTGGATCCGCCATTTTGAATTTTATAAATCTGACGTTAAATTCGTAATCAACGACCCCAAAAATTCCTGAGTAACAAGATTCAAGCAAATCTGCCATTATTTAAAAAATTTCTCCTGTCATTTAAAATCAGCTATGTTTTTTGAGGTTATGTCAAAATCCTGACGTGATGGAGCTAAACGGACTTCAGATTCGTGTTCAGCGCATCAAAATACATCAAAAAATGGTGGTCTCATTCCCCGGCCCGGGTACTTTTTTTGTGTGGCTGTGTTATATTTTGTGTACTTTTTGAAGCGGAAAGTATGAAGTTAAAAATTATGGATTCAGGTTAAATTTATTTAAATAATCAAAACGTTCGATCAAATAATTTTTAGTAAATTATTTTATTGTAAAGTAACAGTTAGCAAACATGAAGAAAGAGAATTGTTTCCACCTTCGTGTCGTATTGGTGTACTACGTAGATTAAATCTTTTAGGAAATTTACGTGACTTTTATGTCAAAGGGGTTATACAGTATGGTTATGTTTATATTCTCTTATGTAATTTTTTAACCCTAAATAGCAAGGAATCATTTTAAAGGTGATAAAATTAGCTTTCATATGGGTTATCAACGATTAAAATGTGATGACTGGTTTAAAAACTGCAGCGATTTTAAAATTACAAAAAAAACCGGAAATTTTGGATTTTTAATTTGAGCAATTAAACAATAAAAAAAATTTTTTTTTAATGTCTGTTTTAGATATCATAAAAGTAGAAGATATAAGCTTTCAAAAAAGTCCTCACTCATTATTATATCTTTATTAGCAACCGAAATATAAAACTTTTCGCCAAGCGTAAAATTCTCAAAGGTGGGCAAAATCTGCTGAGCGGCACTGTAACTTTAAATACTAAATAATTATTGATTTATATATTTATAACATTTTCATATTTGAGAAAGATCATATTTTAAGTTAATTTGACTTTCTTTAATCCTCAATTTTGTGAATAAATAAATACTAATAAAGTTTAAAATTATGTTTAATTGATATAAATTATTTGTAAATTTTAATTCTGAACCCTGATACTAGTCATGAAATCATTCATATTATAAAAGAAGCAGTACACGATTACCTATCAAACTGAATGCGCCCTCCTTCTTGAGCAATATTCCAGATTTCTGGAATTCCTCCAACTGAATAGGCAGCTGTTACAATTACAACAATTACAGCAATAAACATTAAAACTCCTTGAAAAAGATCAGTGATTAACACAGCTTTGATGCCTCCAAGAGCTGAGTAAAATGTACATATAACACCTATAAGAATAATACTCAAATTTTTTGACAGTCCTGTTGTTGCCTCTAAAGCTAAAGCTGGAGCATATAAGACAACACCTGAATATAAAAGCAGTTGAATCCAGTAGATGGAACTTGCTGTTAATCTGGCGCTTGTTCCAAATCTTTTTTCCAAATACTGCAACAAAAACAGTATATTATTTATTATATATTAAGCAACAAGGCCATAATTAACCTATCTTAAACTTTGTAATATTACCTGTTAAATTGTATTGCAGTTTGTCACAAAAAGAAAATCAATTTTCTTCTTTTCGATATTTATATTTTAATCTGTTTCAAAAATATTGTTTTAAAATTCCAATTCAAAAATCGAAAAATTAAGGCAATCTCTATAATGATTGTCCTCTTAAAAAACTTTTCATGCTCAATACATTTACAAATTTAGGATATACTTCCGAAGTAGGGCTACCTCCGATATTTATATAAAACTTAGTATACTAACGTATTTTGCTGCAATTGTGACGAAAATTATAGTGAAAATTAGCGTAAATTTGATTATTATCTTTGTAAAAACCATAAAAAAGATAAAAAGTTATGGAAAAACAAGGCGGACAAAGTCAGGTGGGATCAACGTGTTCGCGTAACACGATGTACGCGGCCGAAGGCCACGTAAAGGACTGCTCAGTTGACGTTTCAATGCTGGTTCTACACTCACTGAAAATTACTCTTGCGGACCGCAATTCCGTGACTACTCGGTGCTCCGCTCGTAGTGACATGCATTGGTACCAACATTATTGTTTGGAAAAAAATACAAGTATTATTAAAATTCAAATTAATTATATTATTATAAGATAAAATCATAATAATGTAATTAGTTAAAATATAATTAATTATTAATTGTAATCATTCATTTATAATAATCATAATCAAATTCATAATTCATAATCAATTCATAATTCATATATATGTCCGACACGATTTTTGACACACAAAAAATTCAACATTTTCGGAAACTAAGACCAAAAAAAAAATACCCGTGTCTGACTGTTTTGCTAGATCAAGTCGTTTGTGGTTTTTAGGGGTGAAAACAACCCTAAATGAAAAGTGACAAGCTATCTTTTAAAAATGATTAATATTTTATAAAACTTGTTATTTGGGGGTTTTCGGGGTCGCAGATTATTAATCTGATGTCAGGTTTTCAAAATTAAGAATGTCGGATCCAACTAGTTTATTATTTTTTAAAAAAACTTGGTATCTAGGAGTCATTGGGGTTGCTGATGACGAATCTGAAGTCAAATCTTGAAAATTCAAAATTGCGGATATAAAATAAAAAATTAATAAACTTTTGACCGCCATATTGGATACGCTATTTTGAATTTTGAAAATCTGACATCAGATTAATAATCAGCGACCCCGAAAACCCCCAGATAACAAGTTTTATAAAATATTAATAATTTTTAAAAGATATCTTCTCACTTTTCATTCAGACACGGGTATTTTTTTTGGTCCTACTTTACTAAAATGGTGGATTTTGTGAAAAAAGTTCAATTTTGTCGGACGGTGTTATATATCATTATATTAAGAATATTACTGTATTAAAGGATGAAAAAACTTGAAAAAAATTTGTAGTAGATGTATAATAGTTAAACCAATTAAAATTTTTTTATTTTTTTTTATTTCAGTATTTTGTCTTACATTTGAAAAAAACAGACTTAAAAATCATACAAAATTTTTTTCTTATTCCTTATGTCTCCCATAACAGAAATTCACTTGAATTTTTGATTTTTGTCAATTTTGTTAATAATGACAAGCTGTCCCCATTTATTCCAAAAATTTGAAAACTCAGGGTAAATAGGACCAGCTTGTTATTATTAACCAAATTAACAAAAATTCAAGTGAATTTCTGTTATAGGAGTCATAAGGAATAAGAAAAAATCTGGTATGATTTTGCTTCCTCGTGGAGGAAGCTATGTAGTCCTTTCGTTTATAAAATTTTTAAAAATGGTGAAAACAAATTTTCCTCTATATAGAAACATGTTATATGAGATCCTGATTAATTGTCCGGATGTATGTATGTGTGTGTGTGTGTGTGTATATGTGTGTGGATAGTTTTTGTGAACACGATATCTTTAACAGGTTTTAATGAATTTGGGTAAAATTTAGTAGGCTTATTTAACACATTAATCTCTCAAAAATGACGAGAGGATTTTTAAAAATACCCAAAAAAAAAATTTTATCGTCTTTTTTCCAAAAATTTTTTTTTAATTGAAAAAATTTTTAAATCGAAAAATTTAAGGTAATATATAATATAATCGTCTTCTTTATGTCAAGATGAATCGATTGATATATATAAAGTATAGATTTGATTGAAATTTAAAGAATTAAAGAAAGTTAAAAAATCAAAAATTCTCATTTTAGCTAAAAAATGATGTGTTTATTTAAATTCATGTTTATATATGAAATAATTTTATTCCCTGCATTAAAACTAATCGATTCGTATATATAAAGTTTATGTTACACTTAAAATTAATTGAAATTTTCTTTATTTTTCAAAAAATTTAATTAATTTAAAACATTTTTAACTCGAAATTTTTTAAATCAATCAATTGAATTGGAAAAATTCATTGCTTCCTTCACGAGGAAGCGAATTTTTTGCTTCAAACAATTAGGAAGCATAATGTTTATGAAATAAACATAAAGGACCCCCTCCTTGTTTAACATTGTTTTCTTTGAAATGCTGCAGTATGCCAAATGTCAAGATAAAAGCTTGGCAATACTCAAAACCTCTTGCAGGTGATCTGAGGTTAAAATATTGACGTTGAACTTAATTTTAAAACTGTTAATTAAGCTCTAAAACCTCTTGTGCCTATTTACCCCATGTCCCCATTTACCCCAACTGACCCTAGTTGAATTTGAAGATATTAAATAACTATAACTATTCCACTATAACTTGGGAAAAATAATTTAATAAATTATTCATTATGTACTGTTTTTCTGTAAAAATTTACAAATTAATGTAAATATTTTTAAAAATTGAAACATTAAATGTTCCAAAATTCATCTATTTAAAACATTAGAAATCATACAGTAACTGAAAAATTCAAAATAGCGCATCATAGATGGCGCCCACATAGAAAAAATAACTTACGTTTCCCAAGTAGGAACAATAACTATCAATAAGTGGCACATGTTTTTAAGGGTTTTCAAGGTCGCTGATTACGAATTCGGTGTTAGTTTTCAAAAATTTTAAATGGCAGATCTAATATGGCCGAAAAAACATTGAAAAATCGTTTAGATTCGCCTGAAACTTGTTACTTGGGGGTTTTTAAGGTCGCTGATTACGAATTCGGTGTTAGTTTTCAAAAATTCAAAATGGCGGATCTAATATGGCGGAATTTTCTTTAAATTGCTTGGATTTGCTTAAAATTTTGTACTCGGGGGTGTTCGGGGTCGCTGTTTACGAATATGATTTGAGATTTACATTTTACCAATTGACAGCTGTCAAAACAACTGTCAACATTTCTAGAAAATTATTATTTTTGACAAAAATCACAGTATAAGGGTTTTTGGGGTAGCTGATAACGAATATGATGTCAGATTGACAGTCTGATATTTAGCAGCTATCATTTAAAGGTAATTCTGATTTTGTTTGTAAACGGTATTCCACACCACCCTAGAGGTTCCATTAAAGGTGCGTTAGATTTTTGTCTGGTGAATCTTCGCTTATAGCCCTATTGTAACACAACTCTGGTAATAATTATAATCGTTATAATTATTACTTTTATGAGACTTCATTTTCCATGATACTTTCTGAAACAGGAACCAACGCATAGAGGGACGTTACATTCAATGCATATAATATTGGTACGTTTTTCTTCTGAAGCTGTACTGCAAAAGGCGCAGCGTGTTTGACTTTTTATAGCATCTGGAATATGAATTCTAACTTCCTCTGGACTGAAATCAGAAACTTTTCTTTTTTTGGTAACTGGACCTTCAGGTGTTACTGCCGTTTTTTTTTCTTTGCAAAATCTTTTAATTAGCTGTTTTGCTTAATTTAGTTGGAATTTAAATGAATCAACATCATTCTTCTCTTTTAATTTATACAATACGAAAGCATTTGCAACAACCAAATCCAATAGAAAGTAAAAGATTCTATGCCACCATTTTTTGGAGCGCCTGCCGATGCAAAAGTTTTGTTATCGTTGGTCAAATCTGTCAACGTCATCCATTATTTTATTGTAAGCTGCGCTACTGCAGCAGGGCAGGATACCTGTATTCTTTTACCATTTTTCATCTTTCTTTTGACGGTGGTAATGGTTTGTGCATTATACGTTGACGAAAGAAGAGTAACGACTTTGAAATCCATCCATTTTATTGCTGAGACACCATCTTTCGTTTGGTACATATATTTTCCTCTTTGCATTTTATTTTTGTTTTTCATTATGTTTGGTAACCCATCTCTGTTTACGCGCACAGTTCCAATTGAGTAAATTTCATCTTTGCAAAGATCAGAAACGAGATATACGGAAGTAAAGTAATTATCGAATGCAACCAAAGATTCGCTTTCCCGAAGTTCACGAGTTAGTTTTTTGACTACTCGTTCACCAAGTGGTGTACTTGATTTGGAACTGTTATTAGCTTTTCCAGTATACACTTCAAAATCCAAAATGTATGATGTATTTGAATCAGCTAAGCACTATACTTTATAACCCCTTTTAATTGGTTTGTTCGGCATATACTGTTTCAAAGTAGATCGTCCTTTAAATTTAATCATAGATTCGTCAATAGCTAAGATTTTTTAAGGTCTATAAAATTCTTTGATTTTTTAGTTCAAGAACTCAATAAGAGGAGCCAGTTTATATAATTTATTATATTTTGGATCAGTCTTAGGCGGATTTTTTGTGTTGTCATTTATATGAATTATTTACGTTATTTTTTGAAACCGTTCTCGAGGCCATTTACTTTGGCAATAAAATCTACTCGAAGTGCCAAGTTCGCACTCCAATAATTTCCAATTCTGGGTAAACGGTATATTCCCATCAGCAGTAATATCCCAATCCAAGCTCGGAGTTTCGTCACAATAATGTACTTGAAAATTCTATTTGTTCTTGAATAATTAAATTTTATTCCAAATAATAAAATAAAAGAATACAAAAAAATTAAATTCCTAACAATTAA